TCAGATGATCAAACTTTATCGGGTGGTTTTCGATAAAACTTCTTAAACAAGTTTTTATATCACGTGATGTCAGATGTTTAAGAGTGTATAATGGTTTCTTTTAACTTGTGAACACACTTTCACACCACATGATCATACCTGTTCATTTAGTGTCTATTTAGTGAGTTCAACGCATGGGTTTGTATGTCGCGAATGTTTTTATAGTTAGGTTGTATCCATAAGACACGTGATGTATTTCTTCTTTGTTGTTTATCATAGAATTAAATACGCACGTTTCTACTGATCCTGTAGGATTCTTTCAATAATCGACCAATGAAATGAACAAAAAACACGAGACATTTAGAGTCCTTCTGGTAGAATATCTTATTTAACGGATATTTATGATTGCTTTAGCATAATATAACTTGAGTGAAAATTCACAACGATTTTAAAGAAAGAAACTAACACAATCAGTCACTTTCCGGTTACTGTTATACTGTTGATAGTCATTTGAATAGCCCAGATAATTGCATTCAGAAGTTTCTATTCAATTTCATTTTTTGCATTACTTAACAATAGCCGCATTTTTCAAAAGTTGTTTCTTATTATAAACATTTACCCAATTCGTGCAATCTTCTCTCAAAATTTAATGAGCGCTGAATAATTGTGGATACAGACTTACACTTCTATTTATTTTTTTACATTATGAATGTAATGGAAAGAGAGTTGTAAAAAGAGCAAAAAAAGAAACGATAATAACAGACTACATTTTCTTTTATTATGCTCCTGTTCCAAATGGAACAATACCTTGGCCTCTTGAAACAGGAACAAAAGGAAAAAAACAAGGAAGAAAGAGCACTAAAATACACAACCTATTATTTTCAAATCAAAGAAAATCGAATTCATATATTGCGTAGCTGTTTTATTTTTTGTCAGATGTTTAAGAGTGTATTATGCTTTCTTTCAACTTGTAAAGGTATTATGTATATATTCAAATAATAATTATTTGGGCTGAAATATGAACTTCAGCTTAATTTGCTTGAGAGTGTTTGTGGAATATGCCATTTTCATTTTTGAAGATATAAGTCATACATCGTTAAAGCCTTCCTTTTTGAAGCTAAATTTAGTATTGATATACGAAAGTTTGATTTGAACAATACCGTTTCACTCAGTTTAAAAGTATCATGAAAGCATTGCAGTGATCTTCATTATCATAAAATTTATTCATATTATTTAATATTCAATTCTCTTGAATTTATTCCAATAATTTTGTTAAGTGTTTACCATAATTTTACAGTTATCATAAAATGAACATGTATTAGTCATTTATTTGAGTAGACAATTGAACCCAAAAGTCTGTTTTTAAAGTATAATTGTTGACATACTTGTGTTATAGAACGAAGGCTTTGTAAGAAAATCACAAATTTTTAATTTATAAAGCTTAAACCTGACAATATTTTTTATGACAATACGTTGATTAGAGGAATGACATATTACTGAATTCTACGTTGATTTAAGGAAGAACACATGACTGATATTATGTTAATTTAAGAAAGTACACACGTCGAATACTACGTTGATTTAAGGAAGAACACATCTCGGATACTAGTTTCATTTAAGAAAGAACACATCTCGGATACTACGTTGATTTAAGGAAGTACACACGTCGAATACTACGTTGATTTAAGGAAGAACACATCTCGGATACTAGTTTCATTTAAGAAGAACACATCTCGGATACTAGTTTCATTTAAGAAAGAACACATCTCGGATACTACTTTGATTTAAGGAAGTACACATCTCTGATACTACTTAGACTACAGGAATAGTATATCTTCAAAAACATTTTAGATTCAGAATTTTGTAGGCTGTTCTACCCTAATTGACCTATTGGTTGTAGCATGACTAACGAGGTATTTAAAATTTCCGTGCGTGAGGATGACATCATTAATAATTTGAGTATATAGTCTTAAAAATCCCATGATTTCCTTAGGTCAAATATTTCATAAAACACGCCTATGTTTTATGCTACAAAGAATCAGAGCGCTTACTGAGAAGATCTGTCTAAGTATCAGGCCTTTTCTATGTAAGAGTTGCGAAGTTATTATATAATACATGCTCCTATGTTGTACGAGTTTTTTGGTCCATAACACATTTTTGTATGGAAGAAGAAGTTTCTTGTTTAACCTCCGATTTTGTTAAGGTTGGATGGGCAGTTTACTGAAAAACAACAAAAACAGAGACAGTATTTTAACAGTAAACCTCCCATGCTTTTGTAGATTATACATGTATATACAGCCTTTTACTATTTAAGATGGCGTCAAGTGAGATAATGTTTTACTTCGTTATTTCAAGATTTGCTATTAGAACTGTGTTGTCGAACTCCCCCTTCCTCGTCAAAACATATAGCATTTGTAAATTGAAATACAGATACAACTTTATATAATAGTCTCACATTTGTATTTCGTGGCATAAACTATAATATACAGATCACGGAAATACAATTTTAATTTACTGATATTTCCTAAATAGTATTATACAATACTAGATCTTACAGTCTCCTAACTTGGACGAATAAGATAATATATCCGTGGCAATTATTATGGCATGTAGCACTTTATGCTGGTGAAGCGTGATCTATTGATCGATAGTTTGTGAGAAAATATATCAGAATAAGACTAATAACAACATTTTACAAATAGTTTTACTATACCCATATTACAGCAGGAAGAGTATAAGAGTGTGGTCTAGATGCCGTTATATTTCTTACCCGAAGTAATATAGTATAGGGCTAATAAAGAAAGATTTTGAAAAATTAAATATATATTATCACTCTTATTATCGTAGCAGGTTGATATAATGATAATTACTTAGAATAATTTTAGTTTAGGCTTCTAGAAATATGGCAGTTTATTTCTTCCTCGCCAATGTTTTATAGATGCTTCGATTTTTTTTTATAGTTACGAAATGGATAAGATTTCATTGATGTCTAAGTTTTCTTGGCTTTTACATTTCTAGAGTATTTCTTTCATATTGCTTGATAAAAGCTTTAGACTCGGAACGAACTAGCTAGAGAAAATCAGGATTCCTTTCAAAAGATGCGAGAGAAAATGTTTCTTTCAATAAGGTGGTATATTTGATTTAAAAAAAAATCTTCAAAAAACAATTCAAAAGTACTTCGAGCTTTCCTCGTCTAAACAGAGAGGATAATCAAGAAAATGTGACTCATGTCTTGGAAGAGATTTTCAGACTAATGATGAAAGCCATCTGAGAGAGTATATATATATTCGGCGCGTTTATCATGGTAACGAGATATACACACAATCAACATTAGTCTTTTACAGTATGATTATCATCAGTATATGATGTATTTTTTATGTTTGTTTAAGAAACACGTATCGGTTAAGCATTAATTCTTATCCGTCTGGAAGCTTGGATAAGAATTAATGCTTAAATTAATGGCTGAAAGTCTGCTTGCGTCATGAACTAAGAAAATGTTAATATAACTAGCTAAAGAAAGTTATAGATCTGAATGTTCAGTGTAACCAAGAGCTTCTAATTTTTATAAATCTATTTGAGTAGAAAGGATTGTGATTTTGTTTGTCTCCCCTTAACATTAAGTTCCACATAAATCAAGTATTAGCGTAGGATAAGACTTGATCTATGAAATCGAGAGTGTGATTAATCATAACAACACTCCACGAAACGTCATAAGAAAAACCATAAAACTGTCGAAAACCAATTCTTTCTTGAAAGTGTGTGCTAAAGCGATCGGTAATAATATTAGGATGCATCTCGAGGCACGAAAGGAACCAGTGCAATAGATATACCAACGTTTTGTGTTACTCAAATTCCATAGAGCAGAAACAAATCAATATATATCTTTCTTTCTATCAGTTTATTTATCCATCCATCCATCTATATATATATCATGCATATATGCATTGTAAATTAGACAAAGAGAGCATATAAGGGAAATAAAAAAGTAAAGCTTATCAAGAAATGTCAGAAATCGGTGGCCTTATATAATTTATATAAACGAATCTTAGTAACTTTATACAGAGAGTCTAACCATTATGCCCACATTCTAAAAACTTTTGGGAATTCAAAATGTTTTCCAACGGTTATCTTTCTTTGAAAACTGGTAAGTGCAAGGGCTTTTAACTATATAATGAACGTTTCTTGATCTTCGCAAACAAACTACAAATGTAGTGTTTTAATACCTGTTAATTATTTTCCAATCTTAGTCTGATAAAATTATTAAAATTCTACTGTGTACAGTGTCTTCAATGTTGGAAATAAAGTAGTTCTGTGAATTTATATACGTATTACTCTCGGAAAACTCAATCTATCTAGAGTTAGTGACGTTTCACTATAAGAAAAATGTAAGAATACTTCTCAAACAACTATATAGTTTATAGAATTTATAATAAAGCCAAGCTTGTATTTCTGCGTGAAATATCTTGCATCATTTCATAAGTGTTGCACTAATATACTTGTAAAATTAAAATAAACTTCTTCCAGTGCAAGATCCATAATGGTAAATATATGTGGTTCATTAATTCATTAAATTTAAAAATTAATTATTATTAAAGGGTAAATATAATATAATGAGGTGCTCTTTGTAATGAATTTTAATAAATTAACAATAAGTTCAATCGCTTCTAACAAAATACAAAAATACACATGAGACGTTTGTTAGTATCCTCGCTGTCATTCAGCATTAACGAATTCAACAAAACTGTACCTCGATTCTACGTTTGCAATCAACCTTATGAATAACATGCCATTATCTAATATTTTATTAAACCTATGTCATACAAAACTTACTTTATAACATTTTTGTCTCCAAATATTAATCATTGTTCTGTGATATCTAATGGGCAAAAGTTTAAGACTGGCTTCAAATAAATGGGATATTTACCTTCGGAGGTTTTCTATATTAAAAATAATAATAATAATGTATTAATGGCTAATAAAATTGTTGTCAGAAACAAGATTAAAAATGTAAGCATACTTACTGTATTAGAACACTTATACCTCTCTTTAGATTCTGAATTTTCACCAGGTATCTTGTACATGTTTGATTTGGATGTCGAATGGGGTACAATAAACACGCATTCTTCACTGGATCTGTCTTCACAATCAAAGGCGATTTCGTTTACTAAGGATCATAATAAATAGAGAAGTTTATTTTCAAACTATTCTATATAAGTCGTGTTCGAAATTCCGAGATGAGCAAAGTAAGATTTAGCTGCATCTTGAGCAAATATTAATTTTTTTAAAACCCTTTAATATTTTAGTGAAGAGTTAGCTGTAATGAGTCCTCCTAACATTATCGATAAATATTATTTGTTTTTGATCTCAGTGTTAATGGTTTGATATTGGGTAGATATTTAAATTGGCAATATTTGTTAAGAGTGCAGACTTAAATTTGCTTAGAAACTCCCTCGATGCTTGATCTATCTTTCATCTTTTTTAATTAATAAAATTAAGAAACATTAGTATTTCCACTACTGTGTTTTCAATATGAATATTTGCTGAACGTAACGAACCATTTTAATCTTTAAAACGTTTGCGGAATAAAAAACAGAAAAATAATTTATTTATTATTTTACAAATTTAATAAAACGTAACCTAAAGCAAAGAAATTGATATCTACTTTAAAATGAATATTGAATGACAAAGAGGACTGTTTGTAATAATTGATTCTTGTTCTCCTTTTTGACATTTAAATAAAGCAATAGCTACAATGTTAAAGGCATATGAAAGACAAAACGGTTTTTAGAAGGGCATTGCTTTTACCAGCTTTTTTTGCTGGTTAGAATAAATACTACATCACTAAATACAAAATGCAAACTTGTGTCTTTTTCAAACATTTTTTAGAAAAGTCTCCAAATCTATCTTTTTTTAAAAGATTCTATTTAGAATTAGAGTTGAGAGGTTAAATCAGCAACTTCACCAGTTAAGAAAAAAATATATTTATGTATTCGTTTATGTATAATGAATGCCAGTAAAATGAAGACTTTTATTACATACAAGATTATAAAAATTGTTTATTTAAAAAGGGGAAATAGGGATCGTAAAAAAATATAGAAACAAAATACCTAGCTTAAAGTGAAAATGCAGTCGCAAAAAAGTTAAATAACAAGCTTAAGTTTGAGAAACAGGATAAAGAAAAAATTTGGGAATTTAAAATCTGCAAATAGAGATCGTAAATAAGGTAAGCATACAAGGCTGGAGATACTGTATACATTAATTACTCAAGCTACAAATCTCTATTTTGATTCCACGAAATGTAATTTTAGCTAACAGCATGGAGTGAAAATAGGGATTTGTAGCTTGAGTAAATAATGTCTACAGTATTTCCAACCTTGTGTGCTTACCTTGTTTACTATCCCTATTTGCAGGCTTTTTAATTTCCAGTTTTTTATTTACCTTGTGTCTCAAACCTTAAGCTTGTTTGTTTACTTTTTTGCGACTGCATCATGGTGACAAAACCTTGTCGAAACGTTGTAAATTTGCTGTTATGTTAAACTTATATTAAAGTTTTTCTTCATTACCCATTCAAGCCGTCTCCAAGCATTACTATGAATGTGTGTTATAAAATTTAATATTATGTTTACTTTTTTTTTCACTCCTTCACTTCATATATAATATTGGGATTAGCTCCCTAAATATACCGATTGTATAGTGTACAAAGCATTGAGTATCTACATGTTACATTCATCTAATGTTCATCTATTATTGGCTGGTAATTCCTGTGCACTCTGTACTTAAACTTTTTAAATGAACACTAGATATTTGTAAGAAAACTAACCTCAAGGGGTAATGATAACATCGTTTACATTAGAATTATGACTTTTTTAGCTTATGAAAAATATTGAAATAACACAAAAGTACCCTACGCAATGCATAATGATCCGTTTAGTAATATTGCCCAAGCTAGATTCTAATACTCTCGCCCGTTTTTGCTGTAGGCTGGCCGAACAATAGTAAAATGAAAAAAAGAAGAACAAATGGACGATATATAATTCGTATCTGAATAGCCAGTTGTGTTATTACAAATGTAAGTGGGATTTTATTTCGTAATAAAACATATTCTTGAAAAAATGAAAAGATTGAATTTGGTTAATTTCTATAAAACACACTGTATAAGATCGAATAGAAAAAACTTTTCCAGAGGTGCTCGATTCTTAAGTTTGTGATGTTTTCGAATTTTTGATCCATCACGCCTTCCTTATATCAACTGAATTAGTTTTTAAACTTTAAATTTAGAACCTCATTTTCTTACTTATTTAAAACTATGTTTTATAATCTCGACATCTTATCATGCTTAAGGATACTTTATTATTGGTTTAGTTGTTGTTACGCCCAATTGGTTATCTGTGCTGTGCCCATCATGGGTATCGAAACCCGAATTTTAGTGTCGTAAGCCTGCAGAATTGCTTCTGAGTTACTGAGAGGCCACTTTATTGAGAGATTAAAACATGTTTGAATATATTTTTTGAGTTTATATTGTGAACTTAATTGAAGCATCCTCGAAAATGTACTTTTGTACAGATTTTTAGCTTGTCTTTATAAAGGTTCATTTCTCTATGTTTAAAAACGGAATGCCTTTTCTGTTTGATGTTTATTGATGGTATTGCGTTATGTAAATAAATAAATATACTACATTTTTCTTTATGACAAAATCATTTAAATCTTATTAATTATATTGTTTATAAATATTTTGAAATATATTTTAGCTTGGAGTTTCAGTTATGAAAACTATTTTGTATTGTGGCGTTACACGTTGAAAGATGGCGATAGAATGGAATTAATGTGCCTAATATTTCTCATAAAAATGGAACTATATTGCAGATATGTTTTTACATTCGTCTTAATAAGTGATATATTATGAAATTCAGATACAGTTTGATTTTTATCACCGAACCGTGGGCTATTATTATTCAGTGTGTGGAGTTAGGACTAGTTCAAATATCCTACACTGATTTATGTAGTACTATGGTCGATTACAGTTAACAGAGAACGTGCACCTAACTGACAATTCAAAGCAATCTATTCATCATATGTTCAGCTCTCTGGTGTCTTGATTCACAACAGTTACTATTTTTAGTAAGTTGTTGTACCACATTGGCTTCATTAATATATGCTATTTTGAAATGTAATTAGCTTACTTTTCAACAGACGTTCTTAATACAAAACGTTGTGTTATTTAATATAGCAGTAACTACGTCTTCTAAGTTTGTGGTAAATGATTTATTAATTAAAGTGCAACTCGGTAGAGGTGTATTTAGTAGCAAGTAAAAAATATGGTTAACAGCTATAATGATGAATAGCTATTAAAATATTTAGAACACTCTTTAATAAAAATAATTTGTTTCTAACTTACAGAAACTATATTTGCGACTAAAACTAGATAATAAGGACTGAATCTAAAAGTATATATTTTCAAATAAGAAAGAAACACGATAAATTGCATGTCAATTAAAAATAGCAAGAAAAATGATGGAAAACCTAAAAGCAAGTAATTAAATTTCGATGAATAATGAAAGTTCTTGAAATTACCTATGTATATTTTTTCTTTAATCAAAGTAATTTGCGTTAAATGCAATAAAATTATATTAGCTTTACCAAGAAATTATATGAAATTCAGACTTTTAAAAAATGGTATATGAGTGTGAGGTATGAAGAAATAGTTTGGAATGAAGATATTGAAATTAACCAGTTTCACTTTATTTGTAGTAAAAAACACTAAAAGATAAGTAAACTGTTCAAAATTATTAAGGTTATTTTCTGAATTAAACAATATGTGTAGAGTTTCAATGAAGTACGAAATAAAGTAAAATATATAAAACCAAGCAATTCTGTTTATTATTGTTTCAAACATAATACCTGGTATAATATCTGGACATCTTTCCTCTTCTAAGGGTGACATTGTTTTAATTCCTTCTGTTATGTTTTTCAAAGCAAGTCCCTCCGTACAGCTTTTTGTTAAAATCACAAAACCATTGGAATTAAACATCGTATAGGTGAAATAAACATTTCTATAAGCTCACAGATCTCTTGACGCAATTTCTAATTGCTACTACATTCAATGTGTAAATTATTAGGATTATCAAATGAAAGTACAAGTTATTGAATTATAAAATTGTTGGCTACTATTATTGTCAGCCAAGTAAATAAAAATCGTTATGCGAATTCTGCCAGTTTGCGGGTCTATTTCTTTATGGCTCCCCATGTTAATTCATATTCCTTCATTTTTCAACGGCATTAAGTACAATGATATACACGTCTTGGGAATTCTAAATCCCCGGCCTAAACAAATCTTTACGATCTAAATGTATGAATATTTTGGGTTGCAAATGGCTATTATATACCCTTCCCAAAGAAATATATTTTTTCACCTATATTTTTAATAAGAATATATATATTAGCATCGTTACCCGGCGTTGCTCGGGTTTTCGAAACATCAACAAACTACTCTCTCTGTTTCCTCATTCCATATTTGGATATGTAAAAACATATTTTAAAAAATTATGAAAAATATCAACCTTAAGTTTGATTTTTGAAAATAAACTACGAACCTGTTTTGAATCAAAGCCTTCTTATGAACAATGTTTTTTGTTTTTCCTTCACAGAAAAGGATAAACAGGCCCTTATGGAGAATGTTTAAATTATCTTATACACGTACGAGTACCATTCTGGCAAACAGGATAAACCTAGCTCTATTTCTCCGTCATCCCTCCTCAAATATTAAAATTTCAAACATAAATATGTATGTAATATTATGTTGAATTTGCTTTAAGGTAAATCTAATATTTTTTATGAATGTGATACCGTATTCATATTATGACATTCATGTAAGAAATATACTAGAATCAAAATGCAATATTGTACTTTACAATGTATCAAAATAAAAAAAAACAATCCACTTCCAAGTATTGAACCACCGGAGAAAAAAAAAGTAGAATAAAATACATTTGCTGACTTGACTTTAATCTCATTTTACACAACAAGTATTATAATGTAAGCCTTACTCTTTTCTACTGTAGTCCTACTTTTAATTTGGTTAGAACGAGGATAATTTTACTACTTTTATTAAGGTCTAAGGCCGTACCTGTTTTGG